CCCTGTGCACTAACAATGTATATTTTTTTCAAAAATGCAATAACAACCGGCCCAAGTAGCCACTTTTTTGCAGTATATCGTCTGCCTTGTGGTAGTACTCAAGCCTAGAAAGGCGTCCTTCAGCTGCTTGAGGCATCGCATCAGTCAATCTTCCCCGCTGCGGCACTCAATCCTATTTTGAAGCTGTGCCATCAATGCTGCTTCAGCGTATGGGTACTTTGACCCCCGAACCCGCTTCCGCTGTTGGGAGAAGCTCTTCTGAAATCCATCCAGCACCTTCTGCTTGTTTTTAAGCACCGTCAAAAGCATAGATAAAGCGATGCCAAATTTCTGCGTGATCCTCGATTTCGTTCGGCCTCTTTCCTCCACTTAGGGCAACCTTTTTGCCAGTGTTAGTAACTTGCACTGCTTTGACGCCATGCTTGCCGCACTCGGGCTAAGTTGCCGCTCCTCACTGTCGGCGAAAAATCTGTACCACTCTGTTTGCGCAGATCAACGGAAATTACACAATAGGGAAAATCACGTGCGCTGGGCAAAGCGAAAGAGACAATCTGCGCCAAGCGTGGGCAGAGGGCCTCTCTGCTCAGTGCATGTGTCACATGACATGCCAGAGGGTTGGTTGACAAAGTTATGTCGCTGGGCTGAGACTTTGCGCACTTCGTGTTTGCGGAAAGCATCGACATAGTTGCATGTGCAGCTAAATAAGAAAAAAAAAATCGACCGACTTCAGGTGTGGCAAGATCGCACGAATCTTGTGAAATCGTTTGGCGGCGGAATTTTCGTTCTACTGGCACTCAAGATTTCGATTTGCCCACAATTCGACGTAAAAATACTTCGAGATAGAGGGGAAGATATACATGAGATTATAGGAATATGTTTGCTGCTGCAGAAAATTTTGACTTAGACAGCCAATTTTTCGAGATATGAGAGTTCGAGTTAATGAGGTACACTGTATATTCGTTCATGTCAAACACCACAATGTTCATTCAGATGTTCGAAGCACGCGAATATTCATGTATCCTTAGGGATAATATAACTGTAATAACTATAACTTGTGTAATGTTTTAGAGGAAATGGAGTGCATGCTTCCACATCGGCATCGGTTTGCATCTCAGCAGTGCAGCACATCCATGCCACACGAGCGCATCGCGTGTGCATTGTCTGACATGGAAATTCAAGAGTTCTGGATGAATTCGGACTCTGAGTAAAATGTACAATTAGTGGCCGAGCCGCTTGGATGAATGGCTGATTATATTTTCGTTTAAGGTCACTGCTTGTAGCGGTCTTGTGTTGCTTGCTTATGAGTGCTGTTGCGAAGCGCACCTCTGACGACGTTACGAAGGGCGCCCCGAATCTCACCGCTGCAACCACTGTTTCGAAAGACGGCGACGCCAACACGGTCCCGAAGGCGCCACTGCTTCCAACTCCGCCGGGAAGGTCACCAGCCGTTTGGTAGCGTATGTTTCTCAGCTCGCGACTGCTTCTGCGCAGAGCTGATAAGACGAGCGGACGAGACGACGGTGAGTTAAACAAGGTTTATGTACAGCATATATACAGAGGCGTTACAAATTCGGCACTGGGGCCGACAGACTCGAAGAGCCGAGCTCTCCTCTCTAACACATAGGTCTCCTCTCCAACGGGCCCGCTCTGACACACATGTCAGCTTTCACCTAGGACCACTGATCGCGACGCGCCGCAGGGCTTCTTTTATATGCACCGGGTCCAACCAAAATGTCCAACCAGAAGCGCCGCTGGTCGTCAGGGCAGACTCCTCCAATGGGGTCGCCGCGCAATGCGTCAGACCCCCAGACATGAAGACGCCCGTTGTTTACTCGACGGGCTCGCTGGCACGTGCGCCGACTCACTGCACGTGGGCGCCAGAGAGGCGCCGACAGAAAGGCGCCGTGGCGTGCTGACGCCGTTCTGTTGTTGATCGCATCAGGCGGGCTCGCGGCTGGCCTTGACACAGATTGCCTTTTTCAGAGGCACGGCCGTTCGCTGTGGACTCGCAGGCATAACAGTGCTGCTTCTTATTTGAGAGGATAAGTCTCCAACAAAAATGTTTACGTGCCCTGAAGAGCATCCTACTGCATTGCGAATGTATTTTATGCATGACATCCAAAAAGAACCCTGCAGTGACTGGGGACTAGGGGTGTGCAAATCGTGAAACTTAGAACTGGACCGAATATGAATTCAATAATGGTGACATCGAAGCGAATCTGAATTTGAATACTAGTATTTGAATAGTTTTCATGTAGTGAGGCAATAATTTCTGAAGCAGCCCTAAACTGATAATGTAACCATTTTCAATATAGCCCAAGAATTTCTCTACATTTTACTTGAAACAAATATTCACAAGCGTCAACAAAAAAAAAAAACTTAACATTCATATTTAACTGACAAAAAGGGCATAACTGTTCAAACTGATGCAAGCTCGTATATAGCAGCAACTAGAATCTTGGAAATATTTTTAGTAATTGCGAGTTGAAATACAAAAAGGACTGTAGCATTCACAGTGCTTTGTGAACATATTTAAGTACAAATTTTCCTGAGTCGACGTCCTTGTAAATGTTGTTGTGAAGATTTCGCGTTGACGACTCTGTCGCTTCGGTGACAGTGGAGTTTTAGGGGGAAATGTCTTTACACCGTGTTCAATGTAGCGTCAATATTCCCGTAAGACCATGAGCTGCATGCAGCTTGGTAATTCTAGGTTTCAAACAAGAATTATTATGCCTATCTGTTCCAGTGTTGTTTTCCTTCGAGGTTTTTTGTGGCTTTATTAAAACAGTTCTTGATTTGTCATTCGAAATTTTCTGATATTCACATATTCCTAGTTAATCAAGAGATTTTGCAGTATATCACATTGTAAAAGAAGTCACAAGTTGCTAAGCAAGTACTATAGGATATTCGTATGCACCAGAAAAAGTATTGTAATCGTTTGTTGTTTCCTTGATATGTTTGACAATGGGCCTTTTCTCGGTCTGAACAGTACCTCCAGAGGGGATTGCCGAAATTGAAATTGGTGGTCCTTGGCCTCCATAGCTTGTCATATGCCGGTACACAATCTCGGAGGCTTGTGTCTTTTTCTGAGGCAAACATTTGCAAGTCTTTGATACCAAATGTCACTTGGGGCGCATGCCTTGATGCCCGGCGCCAATGCGCAGACTACCTACCCAGGAAAGGGCCATACTGAAGCCACACGGCTGCTTCAAGTTGGAAGTGATAGATCATGCACAAAACAACGGCAACAGGCCCGCCGGTAGGTCCTTCGGAGTCGACGAGTTTTGTGTTCGCTACTGGTGACGGCAGCTGAAAGCCACCAAGACGCATTGGGCCTGTAGTGTGCCTAAGACTGGGATTGATGGTGAACTTTATTTCTTCAGAAGAAAACTGCGGACGATTCTGTTAAATAGCCATCAGCCCAATACTGACATCCTACGCTTACCTTTTGAGAGCTCCTGTTGAGTAACAATCGCTACCGCTATGCCCGCAATGCTCATAAGCTTTGCGTATGGTATTGTAATTCTCGACTATTTGCTAGCACATTTTGTGTCTCAAGTAAATCTTGCTTTGTGTTCAACCTCTGCGTTCATTGTTGAGGTAAATTTTAATTAGCACTTCTCTAAGCTTGCTGTTCATTGCTGGTGTGAGAATCCCCATTTGTGGCCACTTCATTTTCTTTTTCGCCCTGTACGTTTTTGTGGAAAGTTTTCCCCGCGTAATTCTCACACACCCCAACTTTGCATCGGTTTTCCGTCGAAAAAAGTGCGAGGGTTATGCGAGTAAATACAGTACGGTTTGTGGCTTCATTGCATTGTGGGTTGTGCCGTGGGTGATGCGCCATAAACCAGTGTCCATACTGTGGTTGAGGCCTACTGATCATACACAATACATGGGCATATCAGAATATACAGGTTGTACTAGTGAAAAGCAGCTTTCCGTGGTGTTCTTAGGTCGTGTGGAGTTATTTTTACGGAGCATTCGACAGCTTTTGAGTGAACTGGCAAGTCGAGTAAAGTGCCGTGTGGTATGTATAAGTAGGGGCGGTCTACAGTGAGGCGTGACATGCTAGTTGCAATGCTGGGGGAGGTCTTTTCGCCCTTGTACTTGAGGGATGTCTTCAGCATGGCGTAGCCCCAGGTGGTAAGAATTTTGCTGTCATTGAACACTGTGAGCACTCTGTGGTTGCGAGGTACTTGTAGAATTTGTTGGAACGCATTCGGATGGTTACTTTGAATGCCTGCTCCTCCTGACGGGGGGGTCTGCTTGCGCGGTTTCGGGCATCTCTTCGTCATCGTTGCCACCATCTGTTGTATCCTCGTGTTGTTGCTTTGCTGATGATGAATCTGGTTGCTCTTGATTAACATGTTTCCGCGTCCGGCTGGCATTCTAGAAAGGCCTGCGTCCTAGCACCTTTTCTTCCACGAGATTTCTCGTACCCAAGCCGGCAGCTCCCAAGGCAGAATGCCAGTTGTCTGTAGAGACAAAGTCCTTGAAGAACTCCTTGGTCAATTGGCGATCCACATCAAACACGTCTGCGTCACTTTATGCATGACAGTAGGCTTCGCCGTGGCGTTATGCGATTCGGTCTTCTTCGTCTATAGACTCTCCGTTATGCAGCCAGTTGCCTGGTCCCAGGTTGCAGTGTCCTGGAAAGAGTGGCATCGTCCTGCTCTCATAAGAATATACTGTAGCAGTAGCGACTACGACAGCAGCTGCAAGCAGCAGAAGGCCCCGACGCCTTTATTTAACAAGAGACCTAGCCTAACCTAGCCTAACCTAATCAAGATGGTAGAAATTTTCAAAGAAGTCTTTCACTACTAGCGCTCCTCATAATCGTAACCTGGTTTTGGTATGAAAAACCCCAGATGTTATGCTTGTCACCTTGCCTTTAGTTAGTGCTCTCATAACTGATCATGGTGGATTAGGCAGTTTCTCTCCTGAGTGTTAATACTAGTCAGATTCATTACACCGTAGGTAAATGAATGAAATATGTGCAGAGTGCAGCATATCAAGTGGTGCCAGGCCAAAGACTACAGGAGCCGCTGCAGCTCGCCGCAGTGTTGCCAGTTCGCTAGCGGCCCAGTTTACAACGTTAGCACCGACGGAGCAAGGCATTGGTCGGGGCGCGCCAGTGGCCGGACCAAGCCATGTGCAGTCTCCAGGCGGCAACTCCTTTTTCCAGATGCCGAGACAGCCCCGCACCGAGCCAGCCTACATCAAGATTCGAAAGCCATCGGATGACCTTGTTGGTGGCAAAGGTGGGTGGGGCTCTTCACCAGAAAGGCAGTAGACTTTCTGATGTGCACTGGATAATTTAGTCTTCTGGTGCCCTTTGTTTCAGTATGTTTGTCCTGTGGTGTCTGCCCTTATGTGAGCTTGCCATCGTGTAGTACTACTTGGCTTTTGTTTGTACAGTAGACCCTTCAGTAAACAGAAATCTGTTGAACGGAACTACTGCTTAAACGGGACAACTGCCTCTGCTATGTTTGGTCCAAGTGTTCTGCACCCATCTTCATCTCCTGGCATTGGAAATGGTAAATTTGGTCGAAATGTTCAGTTCTTGAATTTATTTATTTCTGCAATCCTGCGACCATGTTCTGCATTGCGATGAAATATTAGGCCAAAATAAGTAGTAGAAGCTGAGAAAAAAGCGTTTTGCTGGTCGGCTATCATCTAAAGCTATGAGAAAATTGGGCTTTAGAAAATGCAAACCTGTAGCTTTTTCTTGGCACAGTGCCACCATTTTGGCACCATTGTAAAGAGAACAGGTTGGAGCTCAAGATAGCCACAAAGCTGCATTTCTCCAATGAAAAAGAAAGCCAGCTCCCTTTCTTAGCTTCTAGCTTCAAAATTTCTTCGAGGTACATTTTCTGAACTTTCATTTCTTGAGCAGTTAGTGTCTTTCCAAGAAATGAAGATATAGCCGTTCTATTTTTTACACTTAAATCCTGGGAAATGGGTGAGTGCCGTAAAGCTGTCCATATTAGTGTGGACATCATAAAGATTTTTATAATCGGCTTTTTGTAAAAGTTGTTAGTAAGACAGCGTGCCCAGGACATTTCAAGAACTTTTCTGCGTGCTTACTTGAATATTAGAAAATGAACCAATAGCATTACGGCACAGAATAGACCCTTGTGAATGTTCTTATAGAAAAAAACTGATGTACTTATGTCTAATTAATTAATTTCGGAATGGGAGTGAGAGTCTATCAAGCATTGTAACTCAAAAACTACATTAGATACCTCAAAATTGATTTCAGTTATGATATCAGCTTAACAAATTGCATCTGCATGCCAAATTTCATCACTTGACCTTCATAAATACCAAAAATATTTTTCATTGCCACTCCCACCCCTTAAATGGAAAATATTTTCTGGTTCCTTCAAGTTCCTCTTACTGGTAGTCTACAGTGTATCACTTTCTGGGTTCACCGCAAAGTAATTGAATAGTCTGGTGATTTGAGAGTGAATTTGAAAGTGTTTGTTACCTGCATTGTCTAGTAGTTTTGTCGATTCTTGTGTTCACACATTTGTTTTCTCACTATTGTTTAGTCGGGGCTTCATTCAAAGGTATCTTGTAGCTTTCAAATGCAAAAGCGTGAACATCGTTACTGTTACAGACACTTTTATGGCTGTTCGGGAAACTAATTTACACTCAAACCTTATAGTTGCATCTCACACAGGAATAAGTTTGTTATATCTGAAAATTTGTTATAGAGGTTTATTCTTTCCAATATATTGTGAGACTTGTTCTACTTTGCTATAAGAGGTATTTCGTTATGTCCTGTTTCAGTTTCGTTATATGAAGGTTTGAGTGTACATGTGACACTTTTAACACACTCATCCAGCGGGGCACCACCGTGCACAGTTTGATCACGGAAATTTTCACAGGTGTGTTGACAAAGCTTGAGGCGATAGTTACAGGGACGTTGCACAACAGGCATAGTACAGTTTTCTTGGGTTCGACATTTATTGAAGGATTGCCTTGTATCGTGTACACGTTAGCACTTACCACCTTCAGAGAGAGCTGCGGGGTCTCTCTAATGTATTCTAAGTAGGCTTGTGCGAACAGGGAATTTCAGGTTTGAAGCTAACAGCGATTTGGTTTGAGTACTTTTGAATCTAATTCAAGTTATCGCATAATATGAAGAATAATGGGTATATTTGTCATGACCCAACTAACCTACACAATTTTTTTTTTAAATTTAAATGAGGCATGTGCAAAGGCCATTTTTTTGGAGGCTCAAAGCAAGTGAGAAGAATATAAAATAGTAGCAGGATTTGATTTACTGTAAGATGCAAGCGATAACCTGCAACATATAAGTTGTCAAATTTACTATACCTAAAGCATATAAGCTGGTATAACAAGCTTTAAAGGTGGTATGGCAGTGTATTGTAATATAAAGCATTGTTGGGAGTTGGTGCTGGAAAGAAGCTAGAAATGCACCAACTATCCCAACAATGAGCGTTATGAGAATATCTTTCGTATATAGTGGGCCTTTTTCAATGTTTCTGTTTTGAAGGTGCTCAAGTCTAGCCGCTTTCCAGTCTCCTTTTTCGTTTCCTGTGTTCGTTATTTTATTGGAGGGAATTTTTTCTCTAGCAATGGTAGTGTGAACCCCCCATAAAACTGAAGTTGCAATTTTGACACCGAAAAATCAACTGCCCTCTGAGAAAGAAACTCGTGAAAGCCCAACGTCGAGCAATCGCTTTAGGTGGTTTAAATGCTGCACCAAAGTGCGCCGCGCGCCCTCTGGCGTAAGCAGTATGCACACATAAAACTTCGATTTTCTTTAATGGCTTTTTTTTATGAATTTTTCAAAATCAATGTATCTTTTCCAAAAAGCTATTGAATCGATTTCTATGAAATTCGCGTGCATAAGCTTCAACAAGTTGAAAACAAACTGAACTAAAAAAATTGCTGATTTTATAAAAAGCAAAGCTGTAAAAAAAAAATCAAACAGCAATATGCACCCTCTGTGGCTTTGTGCATGAAGTAAGTTTATTTTCAATTTTTTTTTCACAAGAACTCCACGAAGGATGTCCTATTTTTTCAGTTCAGATATGAGCCTCTACAACATCACGGCTGAATATCATTTTGCACATTCATTTCGGTGGTTGCAGAGAAAGGGTACGTTCAATAAGTGAACGAACCACTTTAAAATTTGGGAGTGGACCATAAGAAGGACAGGCAATCTATGCTTAAAAAAGGGTGTCACGTGATGACCAGTGGCATTCTTTGTGAGCTCGTGAAATTTTGCGTGAACACTTGTAGCAGTTTCTTAAATATTAAGTAGAAACTGTCATATACCGTTTACTCTACCATACCCCTTTAAACGGATGAAATTGCATGATGAATCAATGTGAGGGTAATGTGTTCATTTAACCTCAAAGGGGGAATTCGCGGCAGTGCGATTTCCTTGCAATAGGCGTTTTCATGGCTTAGTAACCTTCTGCTGAGGGATTACTTGGGGATGTAACGTACAGTTATTCGTTCATTTAGAATTCTTGAAATTTTTAATAAGGTAAATGAATAGAGGAGAATTCGAGTACTGTACTAGTCGTTCAAATATTTGAAACATTCGTATATTTGCACAAGCCTGATTCCTAAAACTGCAGGCTACAGCAACTCAATTTCCGTATGGTGTAGGCATCAAAGAGTTTGTGTGTGTAAATTGTGGTGAACAACGGTGCAGGGTTGGACTTAAAGTCGGGGGGTGGAAGTGCTGCACAGATTGCGCCGTTCTGTGCCAATCTTACCTGCTGTGCCAGGCTGCGTATAAACTGCAATTTCCTTGAGCTGCTCCTAAACACTGAGGTCCACTTTCACTCCTGTCATTGTTCCTTTGAATGTTGGTCATTCGGTATGGCCCCTTGACTTCATTCTTGCAGCCAAATGAGCCGAATCAGTTGCAGTTGACTGACAAATTCCCATTTCACGGGGCGACAATCTCTCTGCACTCGTTGCTTACACGTTGGCTTCTTTGCAACTCAGACTGCCAGTGAATATAATCTACAGTATGATACAATGCATGGAGGGGCATCATTCTTTGGGTCTGGTGCTCCTGATGTGCTACTGATTGCAGCAAAGTGCCTCATATTCAGTGTCATTGATTTTTCTCTTATGAACACAATCGCTGTTCAACTAATCGATAAGATGTTGTGCAACATGAGTGTCTAAGTATAACAGTATGTCACTGAAAAGAAAGAAAAGCTGGAAGAAACGTTTTGTGGTGTGCAGTCTTTTTTTTTTTTTTTTTTTTCAGGCATGGGAAGAGGCAATTTTTGAAAACTTCCAGCAACAGCTCCAGAGTGCCTTCCTTATTGACTGAAAACTGTGATGGAACTCTTGACACTGTGGCAAGCATGCCACTTTTTTTTTTTTTAAACGTTACCCAACTGCTCCAGCGTACCTTGACTGAAGACTGTGATGGATTTATTGACACTGTGGCTAGCATGCCGCTTTTTTTTTTAATGCTACCCTAGACATTATTGTTTTTACTCCTGTCAAAAGTGCTGACTTTTTGTGTTCTGTGAAATAAATTTCTCTGTTTTAGGCATCTGTTGTGCTCTTGTATAGTGTGGCTTACCCTTATTGGGGAGACGGTGATCTAGGGAGGCCCTCGCAGTGGAGGGGAGGGCCAATCGTGAGTCACACCTTCAGTGCCAGCCTAGTACAGGATAAAATTGATGGAACAACACTGGACGGCTAAGACAAAGCCATCTAGTGTGGCTATGCAGTCAAAGCTCGTTGATTCAAACACGGGGGGGGGGGGGGGGGAAGGACTATAAAATTGTTGGAATTAAGTGAAGTTTGAACTGGTGGGTGAGCTCTAAAATGTACTAACATTGCGCCACACTTGCGTGAGCAGAAACCAAAAAAAGCTACCTCTAGACTCATTAGCATGAACTAGGCGCTACTTCACATTTCTGACGGGTGATTTCAGGGAATAAGTTCATGGAGCTTTTAACAGTGACTGATTCACCTGGGGAGAAATATCACTCTAAGTGAGCACTTATTTATTTGCCAAGTCTCGGCCACGGTGGCACTATATTTGTTAAGTAAAAGTGACACTACAGGTGCTCTAGAAGATTTTGCTGCTTAACTCTTTGATTGATTAATTGATATTTGGGGTTCAACGTCCTACAATCACCATATGACTATGAGACATGCCATAGGGAAGAGCTCCAGAAATTTCGACTACCTGGGGTTCTTTAACAGGCATCCAAATCTGAGCACTCGGGCCTACAGAGTTTTGAAGGCTGCAGGCCCCCCAAAGTTAATGATACACTAGAAACAAACGCTGGCATGCATGTATGTGAGTAGTGGGCCTCAATATATGATGCCATTTATTCTTCATAACACGTTTATATAGTTCAGAATAAGAATAATGTTAATTCAACAGTGTGATTTTCATTTGCTCCACGGTAACTTTACCGCAGCGGTGACTACATGGTTCGAGCATACGCTTCTAATGCAGGAGGTACCGAGTTTGATTCCCATTGCTGACCAGGAACCCACCAGTTTTTCCCAATGGGTAGAGTAATACACAGACTTGGCGCTAAGTTGTTTCTGGGTACTCGTCTCAAGAGGTAGCCCCATAAAGCGGCAAAGGCTTCTGGCTGTACCTTAGCCCACCACAGCCTTGGTGAAATAGTTGAGCATCCTCCACTGCTGTAGCAGGCAGAGAGTTGCAGCCGCCAGGCACCTACTGGTTGCATAGGTACAAGTGCGATTCCGGCCTGGAAGTGGACTTGTAACCCATCGCAGCTTTCAGACTCGAAGAAAATGGCCTGTAGTAATCGTGGTGTGAAATTAGACCAAAATCAGCGGTGAAGCCGAAACACTGATGAATGCAACAAGCAGGTGACTGCAGTCACGTCACTGGTCAAGACAATAATTAGAGAGACGTAGTTCTTTTGTGTTCGTTAATGCATGTGTGTTAGCTATGTGTTTCATGCGTGCTATTAATCGCAAGTGCAGCCTGTACACAGATGCAATAAAGTTTGTGAATGTTTTTTATTTCTCAATACTACTGGCCCGAAATTGGGCTCAGGCAAGGGGCGAATGTACAAAGAAATGCAATTAGACAGCGCAAACAAAAATTGTGAAGTGTCAAGAACACACATTTAGCAAGAACTAGTACTAATAAATGTACATAAAAAAAGTACCAACTCAGTGAAATAAATGCAAAGTTTCAACATCAAATTAAAGTCACGTTGACAGGAGCGTCTCATACGTAGTTGCACATGTACAGATGAAAGAAAATCCCTGCCACATCCGGTCAACAATGTTAGGGGAGCTTGCTCGGAGGTACATAAGGCGTTTCATAGTGAGATCTTTTCTGTAGGAAGGCTTGTTAACAAGCCGGCGCATGATGTGTGTGTGTCGAAGGCAGCGTTGTTGGAAACGTTCTACGGCCGGCACTGCACAGTGTTGGCCACGTTGATAGGCATGTTAACCACCCTCCTTTTTATGCCGTACTGGCCGCTGCTGTGAGTCAAATGTATAACACTCATAAATGGCAAACGTGGAGCTATCAGGCGCTCTTCAACGGCGTTGAGAGCAGGCAGGTGAGGGGGCTTGGGAGGATATCGGTACCCGTGCGTAACACTCAGCGTAGGAACTTGTCACGTACTGCTGTGCCTGCCTAAGACAACGAAGTCAAGGTAGTCGCAAAGAGGCGAGCGTGCGATCCAGTTATCATTGTTGGAATCGCCAGAAAGGCACCTTTGAGTCGCAACCGGAGAATCGTATACTGGCAGCACTGATGTACATGCCGGATGCCGCCGATGGACAAGGCGCGAGCGTAAAAACTTGGCCGAGGTGGCTCCTAAAAACATATCTTTCTAAAATTATTTAGAGGGCACTCTGGCACTTCAATCATTCAGCGACCATAAGAATGATGGGTAGTACATGGATTTGCCTAGTCTTTGTGCTTGCGGGCTTTAAACACATTTGTGGTTTTGTTTATTACTGTGTTTTGTTTTTATTTAGAATAAAAGAACAAACCATTTTGAACTACATTACCCGGTTTTAATTGGTGAGCCTAAAGGTTAGGGCAATGAAGTGCAACTGCCGGACATTTGCTGTTTGTTGTTTCATAATACAGCAGCTCCAAGCCACGCGAAGCCAAACTGAGCCGAAAGTACGAAGATTAGGCAAATCTATGTAGTACCTATCATTCCATGCTCGCTGAAACGCCATACGTTGCAGCTCTCCTAGACACTAGCACAAGAGTTCCCCCTTGTGTATTTATAGGAAATTCTATGCTTGGAAATGTAACTGTTTGAAGCAATCGTTGATGAGAGAAGACGAAATAATCATTTAATGAATGTATAAAAATAGCAAATGAATGACAGTCAAGCCAAATAGCAACACTTTCTGAAAAATATGCACTAGACAAATGTGAAAAACTTAGGTTGTTTCAATCTCTTATGCTGCGTGGAAAGGAGCAATATTTGAAAAGATTAGTTTCCCATTGGCTCTTGTATGACATTTGGTCATACGACAGTCGCCGTCATACATCATTACTACGACAGCTGCCGCCCTGAAATTCTGCCGCTCTATCCTTGATGCGTACAGAATGTACAGCAATGGCAACAGTCGGCAGTCCTGTCTCAGACCTTTGTTTACATGAATTGGGCCAGTGATTATGGCTCCCAACTGCACACCCACTACATTGTCCTTGTACATCCGCCATATAGTGTAGATTAGCACTTGTGGTGGTCCAAGGTCAGATGGGCATGCGAAGAGATTGCTATGCGGCACATTGTACGTAGCACTTTTCTAGATCCAGAAAGCAGCACAACACTGGCCTCCTCTTTTTTCGGGCTACTTCAGCCCAGTGCGTGACGACGAAAACATTGTCATCCAGCCGGCTGCCCGGTCTGAAGTCATTCTGAAGCTCAGTTTTTTGGTTTCCCCCCAGCCACTCATCCATTCTTTCATCATATCCGTGAACAAGCGATACGTAATGGACTGTTATTGGCCTGTAGTCTGCGATGTTCCTGGAATCCCCACCCCTATTGGGCATAGGAATCACCTTGCTTTCATGCCATTACTTTGCGATGGGCTCGCCTTGAATCAGTAACGTATGAACTATTTCGCGAGTGGGGGGGGGAGGGCTAACACTAATGGTACTCATCATATATATATATATATATATATATATATATATATATATATATATATATATTCAATTATGCAATCTAACAGACAATAATGCTAAAGAAAGTATAGGGGAAGTTATTAGGTGGAATGGTAATGTATATGTCAAGAAAGAAAAGTGGGTGAAAAGATAACTTTTCAGTTCCTGCGCATGACAAGTTGCCTTTTCACCCAACTTTCGTTACGTTTACATTACAATTTGGCCTAATAACTTCCTATATACTTTCCTTAGCATCATTGTCTGTTAGATCTCATAATTATTGTGTCAAACATGGAAAAAAGAGCCCTTAAGTATACACTTTTCTCATTTATATATATATTGGGGGGGGGGGGGGGGTTCTGACACCCCCCTGTAAAGTTGATTGCGCTGCATGGCGCACGTGTCTCGCCCAAAAGCCGCATAGCGGGTTACAACTACAGGGTAGTAGGTGGTGTGTTCGGGAGCGTTGATCACCACTATCATCATCGTCGTGGTATAGCGCCGGCGGCAACAAGCCTTGGTGGCGGCGAGCCAACCACTGGCACGCGTTCGCTCGCGTCTACGCGTCAAAAGCGTCAAATGCGCCGCTCGGCGTCGGCTTCGGAGGGGAATACGCGAGCAGGCGCGAGGGATCAAGCCGGGCTTGATATTTCGCCTCGCGTACGCTACGTCACCACGCGTACAGCGGCGCCAACCAACCAGAGGCCGCGCGCCAACCAACCAGAGGCCGCGATGACTCCGAATGCTGTGCCTAATGGCCGCCGCTTCGAAGGCACAGCCGAGTGCTGAAAGCAAGCATGAAAACTACTCCTAACGTTCCTGAATGACCGCTTCGTAATCTAGAACGACAACGAAACGACGAACGACTGCGAGTGCTACCAGCGTGACGCGGTTTCGTGCCGAGTTCGAGCGACGCCGACAAATCCAGCGAATGCCGGCCGGCTATGCTAGCGCCGGACCCCTGTGCGATCGTCGGCCGAGCGAAAGGAGCATGTCGGTGTTCTTGTGCTTTCATCTGTGACTTTCTGTGCTAAAAACGAGTGCGAACATACTTCGGAGGTTCGAAGGTTTGAGCGTGAGCCCTCGCCTACCGCGGAGGCAATTCAGATCGGTGTCATCTGCATCCAGCGCAGGCCTCTACCATCTAGTTCGTATGAACCAGCACATGCGAGGCACATCGGCTGAAAAAAACTCTACGGTAGTTTCCGTCGCAACATAGACACCATATACGACGACCGAAATATCGCGTAGGTCATACGGAGGAGTTTTTATCTGCACTGTGTTTGTGTTTGTTTTCAACATCAATATTCATCATCGCTGAAAGCGAACCTTGCACTAGCCAACACATTTCCGTGATGTGAAAACGTACGTACTTATATAAGTGTATTCGCGAATTGTATGACGCGGAAACATT